ACTTGACGAGAGTTGAGCGCCCCCGGAGGAGTCTGACACAGCTGTCGTGGCTGTCGCATTCGGGTGACAGGATCGTGCACACACGTTGTAGGGAATGCGCGGCAACAGTCCACCGATTATGCACTCCTTGGTATCGTTATCTTGAATGCAGTTCTTCGCCTCCGCCCCTCCTGCCACGTATGCCACAAGCACGTCCTCTTTATCCCAATCCGTCCGCTCAGTTATTGTTACATTCACTTCTGTGTGACCTTTTGGAGTCATGCTGAAGAGCCCTGGAACTGAAATACAAGAAGATGACTGATTAATTCTTCTCGCTTCTTTGATAAGCACAAGCCTCCAGAGGAATCATCGGTCATGCTGTAGCCAACTTTGCAAAAAAGATGACAAACGAAAACACGAAAACCGAATCAGCCTAAATGCGGATGCTTCTGCAAACCACTTACTCTCGTTTCATCTATCTTCAACTCACATCCCATCACACAGGGTGCCTTTCAGTTCCACTTTCATGTCAATTGGATCAACGACACCAAATTACAGAGATGCAATAAGGAAATTTCAAGAATGCTGCCATTTGCGATCCATTTGGGTGAATGTGTGGTGAGATAGTCATTGTACGTTCACCTCGTAACTAACCAAACGGTCATACCTGCATCCAACTGCTCAAGACATCCAATGTGGAGGGGCAAATGGTGCGTTTCCACTCCCCAATCCCTCCGTCATTATCTCCAAACGGAAAGCATGCAGCTGCATGCAAGCATTGCAAGGCTCTCAAACTGCCACAGCCAAACCAACTCACAGACATCTGAGCGTTTGTTTGAATATCTAACCATTCGCAGTGGCCGTAACCTCCATCCCGTGAGAATTTGCCTTGTCAATGGGTGATCCACACAATCCATTTTGCCTGCGTTGCACCATGTGACGCTCCCTAGAGTGTGCCAATGCTACCGTCTCGACACTGCAATAACATCCTCCTCACCCTCCTCCTCCGCTTCCGTGCAAAGTACCACTAACAGAGAGCGAGACTCCAAAAGGGAAGCAACAAACGGACGATGAACACAAACAAACCACCTACGACATCAACGAAATCACCACTTCATACGAGTCAACGCCTTCTACTCATCCCTTTGTGATACAGAAAATGCAAAATACCATTACCCATTATTCACCAAACACAATCCCTATTTTAGGCAATGATCCACCATTTCTCACCTTCTATGGGTATCGTCACACTACTGCACACAGCGTTGCTGCAAATCAACGCGTCGTTTGCTTCAACTGTGCCGATCCGAAAAAGATCAACACTTGACGAGAGTTGAGCGCCCCCGGAGGAGTCTGACACAGCTGTCGTGGCTGTCGCATTCGGGTGACAGGATCGTGCACACACGTTGTAGGGAATGCGCGGCAACAGTCCACCGATTGTACACACACTGACATTATTTTTTCCAGTGCAGTTCTTCTCCGCCGCTCCTGCCACGTATGCCACAAGCACGTCCTCTTCATCCCAATCCCTCGGCACAGTCATTGTTACATCCACCTTCGTGTGACCTTTTGGAGTCAGGCTGATGAGTTCTGGACCTGGCATGTGAGGAAATACATTTCAACAACATTCCTTCCCTCTTTACTCCACACCGGTCTTAGAGAGAAGCATTTTCGAAAAATGTGGACATTCAACCTTGAAACTGTTTATACGATACCGCCTAATATCAGTGCGAAACT